ATCACGAGGCAAAGCAGCATTTAATCTGTGTTACTGCACTCCTTAGAATTGCATGCTTTATGATCACAATGACACTACCTGCTATTTGCTTTGCTTTCCACTTCATCCTTCAGCCACATAAAGGAGTGGCAACCAGTGCAGGATTTACACTGCCCTACAGACAGCTGAGGGAAAACTCCTACGGATATTAAAATAAACACCACAGACCGTGTGCTGCTAATCTTTATCTCCTCCAAGATCTCCCACTGTGGGCAGCTCCATTTGCTGCTGTTTGTTGCCCAATCTGCCACTCTCCAACAACAGCTGCCCATACCACTACCCAAGCACAGAGGGACCCCCAGCACACAGCACGCTATCGGCTCAAGATTACCTCTGCAGTCACCACGTTTAAACTTCTGGTCACACTTTAACATTGAAATCTGCATATACAAGTGAGTTAAAACAAAAGTCTATCAAAGTTGAGTCTTCTGCTTCCTGCCAACGTAAACATAAGGCTGTGAGACATCACATTAAGTACCACACGTCTGTATTTTTGCAGTTCCTGGTGACAAGCTGCACTCACAGCTCCTCACAGCACTACAGCGAGAACCCCACCTCTTCTGTGTATAAAGCTGACTGACTGACCCTCCTGCATACAGTAATGCGCTGTTACTGCCTCCCCTCTAAGTTCACTTCTTTGTTTCTTTAGGGAAAAAAACACAAACAAACCGTCCCAGAACAAACAGCCACCAACCAACAACAACAACAACCCCACCACTGCATTCCCAGATGAGAATGTCAAACCAAAACAAAGAAAACATCTGAAGTTCCTATCAGCAATTTGGGATACGGTTAAGTAAAATCAAATGGAAAAATCTTAATAATTATAATCAAACAAAACAGAATTGTAATTACCATAAACTAACATTTGTAATTGACAATTATAACAGGCACTTAAAAAATAAACAACCAAACACAACAGAACAGAACAATTTAGATGTCCTACCCAATCCCTGCAACCTGACTTCCAGACACAGATTTCTCCAGTCTCCATTAGGAAGGACTGCAACAACTAAGCAGTAATGATTTCAGTGTGAGAGATTTAAAAGAAATGTATTTGAAAAGGTGGCGTGATGACAATTTGTTGCTCTGGTACGACTGCTCTGGATGAAAATGCTATTTTTCAGAATATATATTTTTTAATATCAATTATTTTCTTTGTGCACATTTGAAAGATGCAGTCCTGCCTGAAATAAACACAGATGGCTGGCAGGTAGCTGACAGTAGCATTCACACAAGCAAAGGATGAGGCAGCTGGAAGCACTGCTAAGTAACTCCAACAGGCGGTGAATAGCACCATTCTGCTGGGGAACTGCTGGGCTGCTGCCATTCACCAGGTATTACAATCACAAAAACAACTGCATGAGTTTGCTATTACCTGCCTTATATTCACAAAGAAGTTTTCTATTCTGCGTTACTGCATCTTTCTTACTTCCTTATTCTGCAATATTTTCCAGACTGCCCTGCCAAGTTAGTCACAACACGCTTTCCAGCCCTAACAGTGAGAGCAGAGAGCTCAGAGAGAGAATTTCTTTCAAAACTGCTCTTGGAAGAACTAGATGGGTTGTGAATCTGCTCAGCCCCTCCCTCCCATGATGGGAGAGCTGGACACCACCTCGCTCAGTGCCTGGAAGCAGCGTGCCCTGCACAGCAGCCCTAATGAGAGGCAGGCTACGTTCTGTGGCAGGCCAATGTGAGTTGAGCTCAGCAAGGCATTCTGCTCTGCTCCACATCCCCATGTGACACAGCACTTCCGTCACGTGGGGAACAGATGCTTGTTGACTAAACTTCGGTTATACAGTACGAAGTAGAGAAAAATGATCCTAAATGTAATAATCTCTGCGTGGCACAAGTGACCTATTCAGATACCCATCCTAAATTGGCCCCTCGAAGCAGGATGTGCAGTGAGCTGGTCTCCCAGTAAGAGAGAAGTGATAATTTCAAGCAAAATGGAAAGCTACTGAATTTAGAGGTTATTTCTTTCAAGCTATTGCCTTTTGAGCATTATGAGCTTATACCTAAAAGGTACATTGATCTGGTGGCAGAAGTGACCAAATGCAACACCTAAAAACAAAGCTCATGGGACAGATTTACCGCAACAACAAAAATCAATGGTTTTAAAAGAGCTCATTCACATTCGAATGTGACACATTTATAAACATAAGATATACTAAAAACAAACTGAAGTGAATCACGTCCTCCATCCTAGAGAAGGAAAGCAATCTTGTCATCTACACATCCCATTCTTCCTGTTCTGCGTGCAAGACAAGGCATTCAATCTTGTCTAAAGGCAAATGAGCTGCATCAGATGCTGCTGGAGGTGAAAGCAGATCTTTATTTCCACAGCAGGAGCAATCTGACCTCCCCAGCACCTCCCCACCCTGTGCTGCTCTCACAGAGAGAACCACCCTTGCCCACAGCTTCAGTCACATCTCCCCAAGTCTCCTCAGACAGGGCCCACTGAAGAGGATATGCCATAGCCATCCCTTCTCCTCAAACTGCCCATCACGTATTTTCACTACAAATGATAATTGGCAACAGTTTCATTTACATCCTTTCATCTACCTCCTGGATCCATCACCTGCTCTGCAGCTGGGTCTCAGCAACTCAACTTTCCCCTAAGAGCACGCGCTCACCAAAAGAAAAACAGAGCCTTAAAATTCAGCAACACTGACAGAGTAACAGATAAGGACAGAAAATTATCTCAAAAATTCGAATGCTTCCCTGATGTATTGTAGAGACTGGAATTGACAAAAGCTTTGGTTTCTTTCTAACAAGTTCTAACTATTGCACACATCACAGGAATAGAAATGAGCTATTTCTATTATTTATCAAGACTGTTAACTGCCACAGCAGATCCACTCCCACATCACCTAACCATACTTGTCCTTTCCAGAAATTTATGTTCAAAGCAATCAAAGTGGCTGCATGCTTCATTTATCAAGAGATCTGATAATTGTAGTAGCAAGAGCTCGAAAGATTGTTCCAATAAACTCTGAAATTCTCATTGTTTAACGATAAGGAGAGCATATTATTTCACAACACTATTTGCGTATTAAAAAGCACTCCAGGAATTCCTGCTTATACACAAGGAACTTGTCAGCACAGCTGAGATCTTGTTGCCCAAAGGCTGCTCCACGGCCCCTCCCTCAGCAACTTCTTCATCTGATGGGAAGTCACCACCACGCTGCGGGAGAACTGCAAGCACATTTCCTTGCTAACTCAGTGGTTTGCCCACACTTTGAGAAATGGAGTCTTGGAGGAAAAGCACATGACTTCTGTGAGATTATTTTCAGATCTTCAAAGGAAGAGTTCATTTAAAAAGAAAAAGAAAAAAAGTGCAAAACAAACACAATTGTCAGTTTGCAAAGATGGGCTTCAGTTCACAGCCTCTTCTACTGTCCTCTCAGAAATCAGTTTCTCAACCTCAAGTTCCCAAACACAAATGGATTTGGTATGACTCAGCTCACAAACAGCAACAAGCTGTCCTTGCTTCAGGTTTTATCACTCACAGATTCCTTTATCCACTGGGAAAAAAAATGTGTCTTCCCAAGACACAATACACCACGCATCCAATGTGAATCCTCACACCCATTATCCATCATTGCATCAGCCACAACTCGTGTCATTTTATATGCACCTTACATAAACTAGCAGACCTCCCTTTGATTCAAGCAACTACAGCATTCCCAATTAACAAGTCAAAGCCAATGAGAGAGCAACGCGATATTTGTGAGAAGCTTATCTAAGCAAGGAAGCTGGATGTCCCCAGCTGTAGGTTGTGGTATGATTTAAGAGACTCAAGTTGTGCCCTGCAAAAAGAGGGATTTGGTGATTCACCAACTCTGATTCACCCACTTCCTTCCAGTTGTCTCCACAGCTACAGATGTCAGTGTGCTGTGACACCTCCATGCCCTCCTCGCCTCCCGACAGGTTCATTTAACTGCTCCAACAGGTGTAGCGGTGTCAAGGAGTGGGACTGCACCCACCTGTTCAGCAGGGCCAGGAGACAGCTGCAGCTCTGCTTTGCTATGAGGAACACAGCTCCCTGCAGCAGCACTAAGGCTCCTGCTGGCCCTTCCTATGTCAGTGCACACACCAACACTCACCGTAACCTCCACAGCCAATGTCCAGGGAAGGTTTCTGAGCACTCATTAGGTGAGCCACAGGAACGCTGAGAACGACCAGAGTTGTAACAGTAAACACTGATTAATAATGAAAGATACAAACGTTCTTCCCCACGTGAAATACTGCAGGATTGCTGCTCCGTGGCTTTACGCACACGGCTCAAAGGTTGGAAGAACATTTTAGTGGCATCAAACCATTTCATCATAAGGTTGTCCTCAGTTTCTCCAAAGGCAGCAGTGTCTGAGGCTCTCAGAAAGAGCACAGAACTGATAAAAGGGGCTTCCCACAGTTCCTCTCCTTGAAGGAAAAGGATCGAGAGTGGAGAAAAGGAGAATTGAGGGGTAAATATGATGAGAACCCAAGATAACTTGAAGAGACAGCACGCTTCTGCTCACAAATCATAGCCTTAATTTCCTTCTTTCTTAAGCGCGTTCTACACCTAACAGCTATCGGTAACCAATCAGTATTACGTCCAATCACGCACTTCCATGATTCAATCAAGTCGCTCCGCGATCGCATCGCCCCCAGATGGGACAGGAAACATCAGCAGCACGGAGCGCACAGCCGTGACAGAGCAGCGGTCACCGGAGATAACAGGGGAGCGCAGCGCACGCCCGGGCCTGACTGCGGTTAGGGTCAGCGGAGCCGCCGGCACGGGGCGGGCTGACTGCCGCTGACTGCCGCTGCGGGCAGAGGCGGCACGGGCTGAGGCAGCGGGGCCGGGAGCGGCCGAGGAACGGGGGCCGCCCGGCGGGAGCCGCACCCCGCCCCACACGGCCGCCTCCCGCCCGCCGCCCCCCCGCGTGCCCCCGCTCGCCCCCCGCCCCGCACACCTGAAGCGCGGCGAGTCCTTCAGGCACTCCTCGAAGTCCACGGTCACCTTCATGCTGCCCGGCGGCGGGGCTGCGCTGCGGAGTGCGGGGCGAGGCCGCGCCGAGGCCGGCGGCCGGGCGGGGCGGGGCGGGGCTACGAGGGGGCGGCGCTCATGGCGGCGCGCGGGGGCCCGGCGGCTGCAGCGGGGACGCCTCAGCGAGAGCCCCGCGGCCCGCCCTCCGCTCCCGGCCGGAACTGACGGCCCGGCCGGCCAAGAGAAGGCAGCCGTCACCGGGAGCGGCCAATCGCGGCCCGAGGTGGGCGGGGAGTCGCCGCATCGGCGGGAGAGCGGCAACCAGAGGGGAGCGGCTGGGCCAATCGCAGAACGGAAGAGGAGGGCTCGGCAGCGAGAGCGGCCAATGACCGCTGTGCGGGAGGAGGGCGCCAACCACTGCGGTGCCGCAGGGATCGCTTCCGCATCGGGCTCCAGAAGTGACAGCCAGGTAAGCCAACGGGAGAACAGCCAGCACTTGGCAGAGCTCGTTGCCACGACGACCCCAAAGGCCAATGGCAGCTCTCATGAGTAAGGAGGGGACGGCCGCCGCGCTGCCATAGGCTGAGCCGCCTGTCACTCACAGCAGCCGGCGGGAACGGGGCGGCCGCCCCCAGGAGCCTGAACATCCCACAGCCGGCAACTCTGTCACCTGCTAAGGGGAAAGGCACGCCGCATCAACCACTCGGCACAGCTCCGTATCTCGGCGATACATCCGTTCTCATCGTTCTGTGTCAGGGTCACATGAGGCAGCACTCACTGCTTCATTCACACTCAGACTGGGGTTTCCAGAAAGCTGACACGGGAGAATGTGGGTATCTGTAAAATAACTTTCATTCCTTTATTCAAACGTCACATATACAGTGGACAAAAACATTTTAAAATAGATCCATATTTAATTATATGGATTTTTGCAACATATCAAATTCGGACTAAAATTAAGATATACACTGTATTTCATAACCAAGCTTAAGCTTAAGTGTATACTTCGTGTAATAAAGCCCAGGAACTATTCTGAGTACTAGAACATTCACCAGTCAAATTCCGTCGCTGTTTACAGCAATGCGGAGGTTCAGAGCCACTCTCTGCAGGGGCTCTACGACTGCACTGTAAACAAGTATTTGAATTAGGCAGTTTCCCTTCTGTTTCCTTCCAAACACCCTTCACTGTACAAAAGCAGCTGCTCTACGTCTCACTGGATGCAGAAAGATGTAGACCAGTGGTTTTCAGTATTCAGGTTACAAACCCCAAAGGAGATCACCAGCAGTTAATCTTATATAGAGAACAGACAGAGTCTAAGCACAGCCCATCTTCAGTCCTGATGTGGATTTCCCTCCATGGCTGTTTCTTCTCAGGTGCTAGCAGCACAGGCACTCTCCATGCAACTGGATAAGACTAAAAGCGTGAAACGAGCCCGAAGAATAACAGTTGGTGTGATTTTAAGAAAAGAAAACATCCAGTGGAAGAGAAAGTGACAGTTAATTTCAAAGTTCAAGTTAGCACATTTCCAGTGTAAAACACTCCCCCCACCAGATGTTAGTACTGCCTCAGTCAAAAGCAAATAACTGATTCCAAACACTGCTCTGAAAAATTACACAACTCTTCTTCTAGAGTCTAGGAAAATACAAGTAACAATACACTGAAGTCTAGCTTAAGAGGTCAATATTTTATAAAAAAGCTGTAAAATTTGAATCCCTTTCTCAACTGCTTAACAAACCTGATAAATAGCTTGCGTGTCAATTTGATATATTTGCTGTACCGTTAAGCTCTTGAATCCCAAACTCTTCCATAAGAGATACCACACTTAGAGCACTGTCAAATAAATAGTGAAAAAACAGAGATACTGTCTGTGTTTCAAAGCATGAAGAGTAACAGTACATTACGCAAGATAATCAGCATTATACATATAGGGAACGCCATTCTGGTTGAACAGATTATGAAGCAGTATTCTCCATGAAATACTAGGCACAGGAATAAATCAATTAGACAGTTTTTTCCTGCCTAATGGACAAGTCTAAAATTAACAACCTTGGCAACACAACATTGTAACTGATATGCTTCTTAATATTTAAGAGCCTTATTTGCAAAAGTCATGAAGCAGTGTTTATGTTCGTGTCTCTGACAAGCAGTTACAGTTCTGGACAGATTTCTTCTATGCTGCGTGCTCTGCTTTCCAGCTGGTCATGAGTAGCATGTGCTGCATAAGAAAGATTACAAAAACAGTTAACTATTCATACCTGTTGTATATTTAAAAAGCAAACTCAAAGTACCACTAAAATACATTTTGGAAGTCACTTTTGCTTCCTCAAAGATAATGTTTGCAACCTATTTTAGCAACTTTCAGTTTCAGAGTGCAGAAACCTTCAGAGCAATTATTTCACCCTCACGTTCTGAAGAAATAGCGCTACCGTTCTGCATACCAAACACCAACTGCTTGCCACCCCTGAAATTGAGATGATTTAACCCAAGACTTGAGAGATCAATTTGCAGAACTAACATACAAGGTTCCTGAAACACCAGTAAGCACAGCACCTTTCAGGTCAAGTTTCAATTCCAGATGAGACACTTCAAAACAAGACAAGCTAATAAATGAGGTAGCAGTCTGATGCATCCTTCCACTCACAATTTTGAACAAAAGAACATTAATGAAGTCAGAGGAAAAATTCCTTTTCCTTACCAATTTTAAGATGAAAAAGCCTACTGACTTCAGCTATTATTTATAAATAAATTTGCTGCATAATGCACAGATCAGAGAAAGCCGTGTCTGGTCCTTCTTAAAGAAAGCCAGTTAGGCTTATGCATAGAATTAGACTTGGTTCCAAGTGCAATTTAACAAGCAAATAGCATGTCTGACAAACAGAAACAATTTGCATATGTCAGAAGACTGGGAACATAAGTCATTTTTATGGTGATGCTCACTATAGTTAAGAAAACACAATGTATCTGTCAAAGTCCAGCAGAACACACCCAGTCAGATGACAGCTAAGTGGGTCAGCAGTATCTGAGTAAGGTTATCACAGCAATGAATGCTAAATGAACCATAAGCAGAGAACAGCAGCTGTACTGCTTGTCAGTGGATCTACTATAGATCACACCCTTGTACTTCCTGAAGAGGGATACTGTTGTGTAGTAGAAAACATGTCTGCATTGAAATCGTTATGCTTAATCTATCCACATGTGGAACCTTTCCCTTCAGTGATTTCAAACAGAATTTTTAAAGGAAAGGTTTCTGGAGAGGAACAAACGTCACTATTTTGCTGGCAAAGTCCATCACATTGTTCGTGGAGTCATAAATAAGGAGTAGCCATAGAAATGCCACAGAAGCTGAAATGCTGAAGCAAGCAACCGTAACAGCCTACTTTAACCTTCCTGCTCTCCAAAAAGCTTGGCTGGCAGAACCCACACATGCAAGATAAGACACAGCCACTTAAGGCAAGAAAGGAACGACTCATCTAATTAAAATACTTGGTAGCCTGAGATGAAAACAGCGGCATAAACGTACAAAGAGTTCTCACCATTACTGACTGGACTGGCCATCTTCATTTCAATCAGCAAGAAATCTCAGTCTGTAATCAAGAAGCACAACTTAAATTAGCAGATTCTGTGGTACCTGACAGAAAACTTCTTAAAATCCCATCTCAAGTCTGTAGCCCCTTCCTCAGCATAGATATAACAAAAAGGAAAATTCACAGTCATCAGGACAGTAGTGTTAGTTTTACTGGAAACCGAAAAAGGTAAGAGTTAGAGGGCAGTCAGGAGCATCGGATAAGAGATGCAAAGAACCGTAAAGGGATCTTCATTAATTAAAACCTTCCAAGTGACAAGGGGGTCCCAAATTGCCCCCAAAACTTCTCAGGAGCCAGCGGAGCCCTAGAGTCACAGCAGTTACCAAGAAATGCCTCGTGTCACATAGCTGGAGTTATCTTTGGTACAAGGGAAGCCATGCTATTCTACTGGAATAAACAGACATTGCATGCCAGTTCTAACAAATGGTAGCCATATCACCAGATGATCTCTGCAAATTCAGAAGTCAATGGGAAAAAAAATTATTAAACTGTACCTACAATACAACATGCAGAATAAAACAGATGTTTTCTCTGCAGTTAAAAGAAATGTGAGAGCTGTTAGTTTAACAGAAGGAAGCCGAAACAAGCCATCACAAGAGTCATTGCCTGCAACACCCAACACACTGAGTGAAGGAAACTCTCTTCTGCTCTATAAGAAAGCATTTTAAGACACAATTTTAAGTCAAAGAACTCTTAAAAAGCCATCCAAAAGAATTAAAAACTTCCCACGTAGCTTCAGACAGATCCAAAAACATCCTGACACGCTTACAGTCCTAGGGAAGGAACTTCAGGAACAAGAACATTATTAGCATTTGATCCACTTCCATGAAGGAAGCAATGAACCTGCAACAGTGTTTAAATATCCAGTTGCCTAGTATAATCAAAAGCACAGATCCAAGTAGCTAGTTTTAAAACTTGCTATTTGAGAAGTGCTCCATAGCCAAAATAAACAAACAAACAGTAACTAACTTTTGAGAGATACTTTAGATTCTTTTGCACACCTTGAATAAAAGTCAGAGAATAATCAAAAAGTTACCATCAAAAAGTGATTCCAGTAAAATTTTGCCATTACTTTAACAATTATGTTGCTGAGCACTTATCAGCTCAACGTAGGAATTTCTTAAAGCATGGGCAGTGGCAGAAAACTGTTTATCAACAGTTTTTACCACATTCCACTGTCCTTAGAGCAACCTTGCCACAGAAAAATTGCATGTAATCAGTTTGAGGGCATACGGTTTACCAGCCATTATAAAAGTGAGCCTGTACTTGACCTTTGAAGACCTGATCAAATACAGAGACTAGAAGCTATGATAGCTGATGTAGAGATTAGGAGATAACAAAACACCAGGGCCTGTTAAGCAGAGTATCACAAAACAGAAGTGAAGAATTGAGAGCCACATCAAATTAGAGTATTTCTATATGCCATGTTACTGAGGTGAACCAGTTAGTTAACAGATTGATAAACTGGTGTGCAGTCATACTTATAGAATCTATTGGCCACAAGTAGCCTAAAATTGATAGTTA